GTCGAAAGTGATTGGTTTTGACATCCAATCTCGAGGTTCCGCTGGGGTGGACCGTGCGCGACCCATCTTAGCAGGTGCCGCATTGTTTTTCCGTATCACATGAAGTGAGTTTACTGCTTTGACTTCTTGTGGGAAAGTCTTTTGTTTTCCGGTGCTCTGCTGGTGGGGTTTCTCATCATCTTCGCTTGATGCGTCGAGCCCCTTGTGTTCGGCGTTGAGTCGGCCGGACTGTTTGAAAACCCAGCAATCTTGGTGGGTGTGATTTACAGGCCTTCCGGGGGTACTGTGGATTTGACATATCCGATCCAAAATTTTGTTTAAGTTGGATAGCTCATCACTGTTATCCTTAAGAGGCAGTGTTTTGTTGTTTGGCCGCGAGCTTTTTGAATCCAGCGTTGACCGCCGTATTCTTTGGGCTTTTTTCTTTATTCCGGCACTGATCCTTTCTGTGCCGTGATTTTCCGTTTCCATCTCTAGTCTCGGATGTACTCGGGTCGCTGGTGCTGCATCTTGCTAGCCAGCTATCTTCCCCCGCGCAAAAGCGGGTCATGAGGCTTGTTAGCACGGACATTGTTCTCGGCTTCTCTTGGCCGAGGTGTCTGGCGAGCCATTCGTCTCGGACGTTGTGTTTAAAAGCTGCTAAGGCTTCGGCGTCCGGACAGTCGACTATTTTGGTTCTTTTTAGTGAGGAACCTGTTCCAGAATTTGCGCGCTGACTCTCCGGGCTGTTGAGTTATATGACTTAGATCGTCTGCATCCGGAGGGCGGACATAAGTCCCTTGAAAATTTGTTCTGAACGCGTCCTCGAGCTCTTCCCAACTTCCAACAGTGTTTTCTGGGAGGCCGCCAGTGCCGAGCTGGCCCTTTGAGCTTGAGGGGTAAATATTTTATGGCGTGGAGATCATCTCCTCTAGCCATATGTATATGTAGTATGTAATCCTCTATCCAGACTCCAGGGTCTGTTGTTCCGTGGTAAGCCTCTATGTTTATGGGTTTAAACCCTGCTGGGAATTCATGATCCAGCACCTCATTGGTGAAACATAGTGGGTGTGCGGCGCCCCTGTATTTGGGTGTGCCACTGTCTTCGAACACTTGACGTGTTATGATCCTTCCTGGGGCCCTCTCTTTTGGCCCGTAAATGGACCTGGCTGGGCCATCGTTTTTCCCAGGAGCATGGGTCAGGTTGTGTGCGACGCTGCTTGTAAATTTTGGCCTATCATCTGGCCGTCTATCCGGCCAGGCGGCCTCTTTGTTTTTTGACTGTGGGGGCTCTATGGCTTCCTCGTCAAATTCTGGCAGCAGCTTGCGCTTCGGGTAGCTCTTTGATTGATGGTTATTGCCATATTTGTCTGCGGTCTTGAGTACTTTGCTCCATCTCATTCTGAGTATGTCTTCTGCTATTTTGAGCTTCCGTTTTTCCTTCTTTAGGCTTCTTGCGGTGGCGACGAGTCTTCCGTGAAGGTTATTATGCTCCGGTGGTATGTTCGGCGTGAGGTCGTCCGGACTGTTGGTTTCGCCGGGATTGGATTGATTATCCGATTCGTCCTGTTCGGGTGGTTGCTTGGTTGCATGTTCGTCGTCCACCGATTTGCCCTGCTCTAACGCTGGGTTATTGGGAATGCTGTCTTTGCCGAGGCGGGGCTTGAGGTGGCGCTTGCGTCGCTGTTTTGGTTGTTTATCGGCGGGATTATCCTTTGCCACGCCCCGATGTTCCTCGTCGTCGCTTCCTTTTGGGGTATCCACCATATATACTTCATGTGCTGGGGTGGTCTTCCAGTGCCCTGTAGGCGCTGGTTCCTGTTCGTCTCCGGCATCGTCGTCCATACCGTCAATGTCTTCGGAGTCGTAGTCTAGCATGTCGGTTAGATCGTCGACAATGGCTACAAAGTGGGTGGTGGGTGGGCTCTGAATTTCTTTGTCGTCCGCATCCCAACCATCCTGGCCATAGTCCGGCCAGGTCTCTCCGGATAGCGAGAGATGCTTTAGCGAATTTAGGATGTCGCCAAAGGGCGAGTGCTGAAAGATGTCCGCCGCGGTGAACTCCGTGATCGGTGCCCAATCGGATTCGATCAGCAGGGGCGCAAGAGGTTCGGAGTCCGGCACCTCGAAGTCACGAGCTTTATGGGGGACAAGGTTAGAGTTCGGCTCCATCGCCGTGGAAGTTGCAGCCCCCGAGGCGGTGTCCAGCCACCGGTCCTCGATCTGGGCGATCGGCTCCGGACTGAGGGCCGGAGCGGATTCGTATGCGGCCACCAAGGCACTGTCCGGCGGCAGAGCTAAATCATGCCCATCATGACAGCGCGGCACGCTCAGCTGTGGCTCGGGTCCGTCGAAGATCAAGTCCCCGCGGATGTCAGCCGTGAAGTTTAGGCTTCTGAACCTGACCTGATGGCCAGGGGCGTAGCTTTCGATCTGCTCCAGATGGCCAAGTGAGTTGGCCCGCAGTGCGAAGCCGCCGAATACGAAGATCTGTCCAGGGAGAAAAGTCTCACCCTGAACGACGTTGTTGATTGGAGAAGCCATCGAGCCTATCGGTGACGACACAGAGGAACTCTCAATGAAAGCACCAATGTCGGTGTCAAAACCGGCGGATCTCGGGTAGGGGGTCCCGAACTGTGCGTCTAGGCGGATGGTAACAGGAGACAAGGGACACGATGTTTTACCCAGGTTCGGGCCCTCTTGATGGAGGTAAAACCCTACGTCCTGCTTGATTAATATTGATGATGTGTATTACAAGAGTGGATCTACCACGAGATCAAGGAGGCTAAACCCTAGAAGCTAGCCTATGGTATGATTGTTGTAATGGAGGTTATGTCCTACGGACTAAAGCCCTCCGGTTTATATAGACACCGGAGAGGGCTAGGGTTACACAGAGTCGGTTACAATGGTAGGAGATCTACAGATCCGTATTGCCAAGCTTGCCTTCCACGCCAAGGAAAGTCCCATCCGGACACGGGACGGAGTCTTCAATCTTGTATCTTCGTAGTCTTGGAGTCCGGCGGACGATGATAGTCCCGCTGTCCGGACACCCCCTAGTCCAGGACTCCCTCAAGAGGTTTGAGGCAGCGTGTCTCGTTCTTTGCGGATGACGTGGTGGTGTTTATCAAGCCTGCTCTGGTGGAGCATGAGGTTAGCAAGAGTATTCTCTCCATGTGTGGGGAGGCGTCAGGATTGCGGATTAACATGAGGAAATCAGCTGCCCTCCCGATAAGATGCAACGATCAGGAAATCACCATGGCAAGTCAGGAGTTGGGCTGCCCACGAGGGTCGTTTCCAATCAAATACCTGGGTCTACCTCTGACCTTGAGAAAGCAAACACCGGCTCAGTTGCAGTTCTTGGTCGATCAAATGGCTAACTGCCTGCCTAAGTGGAAGGCAGCCCTTATGCCGAAAAGTGGACGGCTTACTTTGGTCCAGTCTGTGCTATGCGCCATGCCCATTCACGCAATGATGGCGCTGGATCTCCCATTGAAGACCATCGCTGCGATGAACAAGGTGTGTCGAGGTTTCCTTTGGTGTAGGAGGGCCACTGCCAACGGTGGAAACTGTGCTGTCGCATGGGACTCGGTTTGTACACCGAAATGGGCTGGTGGATTGGGACTCCCTAACCTAAGATGGCTCAACGTGGCCATGCAGGCTAGATGGCTTTGGCTGCAAAGGGTGGACACAAGCAGACCGTGGAGCAGTTCAAGATTAGGGCTCCACCGGAAGCGAGACATTTGTTCCAGGCTGTGGTAACGAGCGACGTGCACTGCAGTCTTACCACGCTCTTTTGGGAGGACCGTTGGTTGGATGGCATGATGGTGCAAGACCTTGCGCCTACGATCTATGCCATGGTTCCACCACGCGCAAAAACGTCGAGGCTTGTTGCCCCGGCAGTTGAGGAAGGTTCATGGGCGCTGGATGTTGGACCGGAAATGGGCGAAGAGGCGTTGATGGAGTTCCTCTCTCTATGGCTTAGAGTGAGCATGTGGGTGCCGGACAGGGGCGTGCCGGATAAGATATCTTGGGCTTGGGAGAAGAATGGCAACTATTCGGTGCGGTCGGCTTACGCGGAAAAGTTTTGGGGCCGTACGGTGGAGCCAATGGCGGAGATGACTTGGACCTCCAGGGCGCCCGCCACTTGCAAATTCTTCACCTGGCTGGCCCTTCGAGACTGGTGTTGGACCTCAGATAGACTTGCGAGGAGAGGGCTGCCGCATCAGGATGCCCGCCCCCTGTGCGACCAGGAGGACGAAACAATCAACCACGTGCTTCTTACGTGCGTGTTTACTAGATCAACATGGGCAGTGGTTTGTGAGGCGTTGGGAAAGCCGGAGTGGACGCCGACGGTTCAGGACTCCCTGCACACTTGGCTTCGGGATAGGCAGGGGCCATCTAACCTACGACGCAAGGATCTTCATACCATCTTCATACTTACGCTCTGGGAACTGTGGAAGCATGGTAATGCTATTGTTTTTGACAGAGCATCACCGTCGAGGGAGGTGCTTCTAGGTAGAGTTCGTACTGAAGGTTTGTCCTGGTAGGTAGCCGGGAAGTTTAAGGGGAATGTCGACCCTTTCTTCCATAGGTTGCATAGGTGGATGAGTAGTGAGGAGTAAATGTAAGAATCTTGTATGATCTTGGTGGAGGCATTCTTTTGCCTTTCTTCTTTAATAAGTACTAGTATATAATATGCACACTCGTGCATATTCGAGAAAAAAAAGAAAAAAAAATCTGTTCTAAATTCAAGGCTCAGCCCACGGGTTCATCCGAACATCGCATTCCAGTTTCCAAATGTGTAAACACGGCCGACGCGCGGAGCGAATATACCCACCACCCCGTCCGCCTCGTGTCTCGTCTCCGCGAGCAGGTCGGCCGCGCGAGGGATATGCAGATGGCACCGTAACCGTATCGCCCGGGAGCATATCCCCCTCCCGTTTCGCTCTCACCGAGCTCCTCTTATCCCCCCTCTCGCTCTCTCCCGCCTCTCCGCGCCACCACCACATTCCACTGCATCCATGGCCTCCCCCTCCCGCCCGGCGCTCCCTCCCCACCTCCGCCTCCTCTCCCCGCGCCAGCTCCCTCCCCTCCGCTCGCCTAGACGTCGCGGCGCGGGCAGCCGCGTCCTCTCCTCGCTCCCCTCCCCGTCCCCGTCCCCGCCCTCGCAGCAGCGCGTCTCCACCGCCTCGCTCGAGCACGGCCCCGGCCCCGGCCCCTCCGCCGAGCA